TTTTTTTGGGGGGGGGTTGGGGTCATTTCGGGAGGGTGGGGGAGGGGCCGGGGTGGGGGAGGGGCGGAGCGCTCCCGGTTTTACCCTAAAAAGGCCCCGGTGGGAAAAGAACCCAAAAATAACCGCGGGGTGGGGGAGGGGCGGCAGCTGCGCCCCCCAAATTTGGGAACCGCCCCTCCCCCACCCCCCCCCCGCCCGGGCCCCTCCCCCACCCGCATTGGGGGGGCGGAGTCTCAAAGGAAGGGGGAAAAATCCTCCCAAAACGGGGCCAAAATTGCCCAAAAAAAGGGGGAAAATTGCTAAAAAATGGAGCCGAAATTCCCAAAAAACGGAGCCAAAATCCCCCCCAAAATGGAGCAAAAATTCCCAAAAAACCAGAGCCAAAATTCCCGAAAAACAGAGCCAAGATTCCCCCAAAAATGGAGCAAAAATTCCCAAAAAAACAGAACCCACATCCCCCAAAATAAGGCAAAAAATTACCAGATAATGGAGCCAAAATTCCCAAAAAACAGAGCCAAGATTCCCCCAAAAATGGAGCCAAAATTCCCCAAAGAATGGAGCCAAAATTCCCTGAAAACCAGAGCCAAAATTTTCCAAAAAAAGGGGAAAAGTTGCTAAAAAATGGAGCCGAAATTCCCAAAAAACGGAGCCAAGATTCCCCAAAAAATGGAGGCAAAATTCCCAAAAAACAGAGCCAAAATTCCCAAAAGACAGAGCCAAAATTCCCCAAAAAAGGCGGAAAAGTTGCTAAAAATTGGAGCCAAAATTCCCCATAAAATGGAGCAAAAATTCCCAAAAAAACAGAGCCAAAATTCTCCCAAAAAAAGGGAAAAAATTGCTAAAAATGGAGCCAAAATTCCCCAAAAAATGGAGCAAAAATTCCCAAAAAAACAGAACCAAAGTTCCCCCCAAAAAAGGGAAAAAGTTGTCAAAAAATGGAGCCAAAATTCCCCAAAAAATGGAGCCAAAATTCCCTAAAAAACCAGAGCCAAAATTCCCCAAAAAAAGTCAAAAAGTTGCCAAAAAATGGAGCCAAAATCCCCAAAAAACAGAGTCAAAAATCCCCCAAATAAGGCAAAAAGTTGCCAAAAAACGGAGCCAAAATTCACAAAACTTGGATCTAAAACTCCCAAAAAAGGGCCCCAAAACTCCCAAAAACACGGCGCCAAAATTCCCCAAAAAAGGGCAAAAAGTTCCCAAAAAATGGATCTAAAATTCCCCAAAAAATGGAGCCAAAATTCCCCAAAAAATGGACCCAAAAAGTCCCCAAAAAAAGAGCTAAAAGGTCTCAAAAGTTGGATCCAGAATTCCCCAAAAATTGGATCCAAAATTCCCCAAAAAAGGAACATAAATTATGGACCCAAAATTCCCAAAAAAAGTCAAGAAGTTCCCAAAAAATGTTCCCAAAATTCCCCCCAATTGGACTCCAAAAATGGCCCCAAATCCACCCAAAAATCCCCCCAAATCCCCAAAAATGCCCCAAAATTCCCAGGAAATCCCCGGCATGGATGGAAAATCCCGAATTTGATGGAATTCGGAAAATTCCAAAAAAATCCCGGTTTTTTTTTCCCGTTTTATTCGGAATTTCACCCAAAAAATTAAAGTGGGGGCGGAGGGAAAACCCGGAGTGGATCCGGGGGGAAACAGGGAATGGGATCGGGGAAATCCCGGAGTGGATCCGGGGGGAAACAGGGAATGGGATCGGGGAAATCCCGGAGTGGATCCGGGGGGAAACGGGGAATGGGATCGGGGAAATCCTGGAGTGGATCCGGGGGGAAACGGGGATTGGGGAAATCCCGGAGTGGATCCGGAGGGAAACAGGGAATGGGATCGGGATCGGGGAAATCCCGGAGTGGATTCCTGGGGCAGATTTTGGGGGAGAATCCCGGAATTTCTGTGGGATTGGGGGAAAACCTGGCCTGGATTGGGATCAGGAGGAAATCCTGGCCTCGATCAGACCCAAATCCCGGCCTGGATTCCGGCCGGGATCGGGACGAGACCCAAATCCCGGCCTGGATTTCCCTCGGGATCAGGATCAGACCCAAATCCCGTTTTTCCTCCGTTTTTTCCCCATTTTTTTCCTCATTTTCCCTGATTCCCCCCATTTTCCAATTCTTTTTCCATTTTATTTCATTTCCCCCATCTTTCACCATTTTTAATCTTTTTTTCCCCATTTCCTCCCTTTTTTTCCCACAATTTCCCCCGTTTTCCCTTTTTATCCATTTTTCCCATTTTTCTCTCCATTTTCCCCAATTTTCCCCATTTTTCTCATTTCTTCCATTCCCCCATTTTTTTTTTACATATTTTTTCAGCGTTTTCACATTTTCCTCCCATTTCCCATTTTTTCACCTTTTTTCCCATTTTTTCACCTTTCTTCCCCATTTTTTCACCTTTTTCCCCATTTTTTCACCTTTTTCCCCATTTTTTCACCTTTTTCCCCATTTTTTCACTGTCTCCCCCCACTTTTTCACTGTTTATCCTCATTTCATCCCAGTTTTAACCCCTTCATGTCCACACCCATATGAGGGCCAGTTTCCTCTTCCAACCGCCATTTTTAACCCTTTCCTCTCCATTTTTAACCCTTTCTTCCCCATTTTTAACCCTTTCTTCCCCATTCCCCCACCGTTTTCTCCCATTTTTTCACCATTTCCCCCATTTTTTCACCTTTCTCCCCCGTTTTTTCACCTTTCTCCCCCATTTTTTCACCTTTCTCCCCCATTTTTTCACCATTTCCCCCATTTTTTCACCTTTCTCCCCCATTTTTTCACCTTTCTCCCCCATTTTTTCACCTTTTTCCCCCATTTTTTCCCCCTTTTCCCCCATTTTTCCACCTTTCTTCCCCATTTTTCCCCCTTTTTCCCCATTTTTCACCTTTCTCCCCCATTTTTCCCCCTTTTCCCCCATTTTTTCCCCATTTTCCCCCATTTCCCCCGTTTCCCCCGCGTCAGGCCCCGTCCAGCCGCCTCAGCCACCGCGCCGTCCTGTCGCGCGCCTCCTCCCAGGAGAAGAGCGGCCGGTAGCCCAAGTCCCGCTCGGCCTTGGCCGTGCGGACGCTGAAGGGGGTGGAGGCCACGGCCCACGTGTAGGGGTTCAGCAGCGGCGCGAAGCGCACCCCGAAACGGCCCAGGATCGCCCGCAGGGCCCCGTTGAGGCCGGCCAGGAGCCCCAAAAGTCGGGGCGGCAGGCGGGGTCCCCCCGCCAGCCCGGCGGGGCCCAGCAGCAGCAGGTTGAACTCCTCGTAGGGCGCCCACGGCGACGCGTCGTAGCAGAAGAAGAACTCGCCGCCCACCGAGGCCGGGCGGGCGCGGGCGGCGCGGGCGGCCAGCACGTGCATCCAGGCCACGTTGCCTGCAGGGA